CAAACTTCGCAGCCAACGTTGCTGTTGCTAATGTTATTGTACCTTTAGTCATGCAACTGGTAAGCATATTTGTATAAATATCCGTTAATAATTGTAGTTACCTCTTAGAAGTTATAACAACTTTAATTACAAATTTTAAAATTTCTATATCTGGTATTATTTGTTGGCATAATATATGTATGTGCGTTTGTGTACGAATAATTATGTACTTGGATTGGATTATTATCTCTAAGTAGGTACCGCATCCCTTAATGTTAATTACTTAATTGTTTAAATTTGCATACATTTTTTAGGCAAAACAAATTAATATACAACCAATATGGTATAATATTGCAGCGGGTTTTTCGGCGTCATTCTGTTTTTGTTTACCAGTTGGTACCCCTGGAAACTTGATCGTACAGAGTGCTGCTAAAATTCCCACTATAGCAATGGTAAGTTTATTGTAATAGACAAGACAAGTAATTGTTTACATACAATTGCAAATGACCACTACAAAATTGACGTAGATTTAAATACTTGCATATTTGCAAATTTGTAGTATCAACTTTTTGTGCACATCTGTTCCTGGAAGAAGCTCCTTTTTGTATTTAGCAAATAATTTACACATCTGAAACATGGCGGTCTGATCCCAAACTAAGCAGAGCCTGTACTACAGCAACCAGACTAAATAAATTCACGATTTTCTTGGTGGATGGGTATCTTGGTGCTCTTATCACTAGGAGTAATTAGTAACATTTATTTGTCCTGGGTGGAAATCAAACTCGCGACCTCTGGCTTAGCAGTCAGGATCACTAACCACTACACACATAAAAATGATTGCATTTTAGGAAATAATTTCGCAAAAATATGTAACATTCAAGTCTCAATTCCTTACTTTATCGTATTAGTATTTAAAAACTGATAGACATTTGAAAAGTAACACATTAATACGAGGGCTGCTATTTATGTATCCGGAAATGGCCAGTTACAGATCTGAATGAAAAAAGTAATAATAACATTTAAAAATTGAACTCTTTGGCTGAAGAATACCATTTGTTTCATGTAGCCGTCATGTGTTTATCCTTTGTGGCGTCATAATGAAAGTTGCGTGTCACAATGGATTTAACTCGTGAAAATTTTCGTGCTATGGTTTATTACGATTTTAGGTGAGTGCTAAACAGTGAGTCAAAAACAGAGCACCGATCAACTCACTTCGACTTTTGGGGACGAAGTACCATTAAAAACAACTGTGTATCACTGGTTTAGTGAGTGTAATCGAGGGCGGTCTGTGCTCATGGACGAATTAAAAGAAGGTTGCCGTAAATCGGTTGTTGTACCTCAAAATATTGATGCTGTGCGGGAACTAATAATGCAAGATAGTCATGTTACATATCGCGAGATAGAGGCGTCTCTGGGAATAAGTATAAAGAGTAAATATAAAATATTACACGAACATTTAGCTGTAAAAAAAATTGTTACGTTGTATTCCGCACAAGTTGAGAATTGACCAAAAACGGGCTCGTGTCGATTGGTGTAACAAAAATGTTAGAAAAGTGCAATCAGGGTGTGTCAGCTGTCTATAATATCTACACAGGTGATGGATTTTGGATATGCGTATGATCCTGAAACTAAACAACAATCAAAGTTTTGGATGTTCTAAGATGAACCGAACCCTACAACAGTCATTCGTTCAAAAAGCACTGAAACAAATGGTCGCTTGTTTTTTTTTTGTATAAATAGACATGTCGCTACTGTGCCACTAGAGGATCGTAAGACGGTTATTTTTTAATGGTACACGACCATTTGTTTGCCAGAAGTATTTGAAGAAATAAGAAATAATAACCGACAACACAGAATCCTTCTTCATCATGACAATGCTAGCTGCCACACACAACTCAGTATTTGGAAGATCCAAAGATCGAATTAACGGGTCATCTACCGTACAGCCCTGTCTTGGCCCCAACAACTTCTATTTATTCCCAACCGTGAAGAATGAATTACGTGGTCAACGTTTTTCGAGCAATGAAGAGGCTGTGGACGCGTTCAAAATGCACGTTTTGGAGATACCACAATCAGAATGGAAAAAGTGCTTTTGATTCCAACGTATGCAAAAGTCCATCGATCATCACGGCGAATATTTTGAAAAGCAATAAAACTATAATAAATGCTGTATGTTTGTTTCAATTTGTTATTCCGAATACATAAATCGTATCTGCAAAAGAAGTTAAAAACATTTCCTTTGTAACGTCCAACTAGTTTTAAACTAATAAAATTCAGAGAGCATGTCAACCGGATTGCATGTGTAACTGTTGGTGTGTTAACTTTTCTTTGGTCAACAGATCGTTTTAAATATGATTCGTAAAGATTTTCAATTCCCCCTTATTTTCAGGTGAAGGTGGGAATAGTACCCACAATATCCACAATTATTGTGACATGGTTAAGTGTTTGTTTCTGGGCTCCTGTTATTTGGCCTTGTCTGACTGCTACAAAGTAACATGTATATGTAAATCATCATCGTAGTTTCTGAAGTCGAAGTAAGAAGATATGCCTTTACTTTAAGTAGGATTAATTTGTTTATATTTGTTGATTGATTGACCGATGTCAATTTACATTCTTATTCAACTTATTTGTTTTTAAGTTAAATAAACGTTTTATCTTACATATAAATTGTTTCAAGCTCAGACGAAAAAATAAAACTTTATAGCTTCCAGCAACAAATATCTACTCGCAATAATGCCACAGTTCAAAAAAATGAGATATTAGGAATCAAAGAGCAGTATTGCAACGTCACCGAGTTGTACCTTTACAATTTGTTAATTGAAGGGCCTACAAAAACAAAAACCTCTTTCGTTAAGTCGTTGAGTTTTGTCAGTCACGCAGAAGCGTCTGAAAGATGTCGAACCCGAAGAATAAACAAACCATCCCGTTAAAGTAGTAGTCCCGTTAAGTATAGACAACTAATGTCAAATTGGTGAACTGAAGCTGTTGTCTATGGCTAAGAGGCGTTGGTCGTCTATTGTAAGATTTCATTTGTAACAAAAATAGAAACCGCTTACTGGTTTCTCAAATGAACGTTTTATTACGAACCACAACGTTACAGGTGTTGCCAGCAACATCTCACCTAAATTGTACCTAACATCAATGATTTTTCTATTTAGTTATTTTTTGTATTTTTATAGTTAGTTAAAAGAATAATAAATATAATAATGTTTTATTATAATCACAACGTGGTTATTGATTTATGGTGATATTTCTTCACAAGTAATCATTGCATTCGATTCTACTTATCAGCCAGCCAGCCAGCGTCACGACAAGACGGCTGTACACGGGGCATGTCCGCTCAATGGCACTGTACGGTGCACCGGTGTGGGCGGTGGCTCTGACCGCCTGGAATAGGGCACGCCTCTGATATTGATTATTATTTATCTTAGGATATTGGCGGTTAGAGCCATACGCGGTTACCGCATTGTATCGACGGAGGCGGCGTGCCTAAAAAAGTAGTAGTGTATCGTTTCTGAAGGAGCATACTTTAAAGGTGATAAAATAAATTTGGATGACTATCAAACATTTTGTTTATTATGGATCTTTTTCCGGTACTTTCTTGACAGAGTAGTATAAATATTTGGTTTGGCTTTCAAGTATTTTTTTCCAATTTCACAACTAGGAATTGACCCAGATGTACATTATTGGTACAAACTAAGTTTTAAACTAAGATAAATGGAAATGTTACGTTATAGTTAAACCGCCGTAAGCTTAGCCCTCCTGATGGTTTGGGGGACGCGGGGCGGGGGTGCATTCAACCAATTAGCTAGTGCGTCGCTGTCCGCCGGCAGTGACTGACGTGAAAGCATAGCTGTACGTGTTATTTTTCTTAAGACTGCTACACACGGTATTATTTTGCAACATGGATAATCTGCCGACTCTTCGTCACAAAAAGATTTAAAAACTTGAAGTTCGGCTTACCGAGGTTCTACTGTTAAAGTTCTAATAAAGAATATTTATTATTTTACTTAATTTTGAAGTTGTATCTGAATATAATTTACGTGATGAAAATAAGGTGATTTTATTAAAATTATTTTACAGTATTTACAATTAATCCTAAAAACTTACAATACACTGACTGATATCGAGTTAGTACATCGTGTCATGTATAGCCTAGCGCATCACCGGGCCCCGCGTCTCGCAAACCATCAGGAGGGCCAAGCTTACGGCGGTTTAACTGTAAGATTGTATTCGTATAGTAATCCGTAGTCTAAATCCATCACAACACGGACAACAAGGCCTATACAGTAAAATTGTTTGAGTTTGTGTTTATTGTTTGAGTAGAGTCCCAGTTGCCTGCTCATTGAAGTTTTGGATAAAAAAATAGACATTTATTCTGCCTTGTTATTTAATACTTTAATAATTCGAAGAATACACAATAAACATTTAGACGTAAGTACAATGCAATGGAAATGTACAAAGTTAGTATCAGATATCTATTATATAACGGCTATGTAGTAGAGAAATATTCTTAAACACAGTTAGTGGAGAAATATTCTTAAACACATTTTTCATTTAGAAAAATTCTAAAGAACTCTTTTTGGATCACTGCTCAGTCTGGGTTGCTGTCTGTTAGTCTATCTTTCTTCATAAATAGTAAGAGAAGCACTACTTATGAGTAACTTTAACGATGTTCTTCCTGTTAGAACTTATTAGAACTTACAAATGCAGTCGAAAAAGGGACTTCATTTATATGCTCTAATTCGACTCCTGCGCGTACTACGCCGGACTCCTGCTGGGATAATAAAAGAAATTTCCACAAAGGCAGTAAGTAAGCCGTCCTTTTTTGTGACTTTATTCTAAATAATTGAAATTTATTGAAGTAAAAGTTTAACATCAGAATGACTACGACCTTATTTGAACAATAACTTCATTCCGTGCTAGTAGATACTGCTATTATATTTCAGAAATCAGAGACTAACCTAACAATATGCCCGAAAGCCCACTTAATAAAAAGATACATAGAATCAAAGTTAAAGTTACTCTGCAGCCGTTTCGGGTAAAGTATAAACAGCTGGCCACATTATAGGGCACCAGAAGCAGAAGGCAAACCAAGATACTAAAATTGTACTAATTGTGGGACCAACACCAGCCTTAATCTGAAACCAAATAATAATAAATAATAACTAAAGTAATAACTATAATAATATTGAATAGGGATGATTATGCATTATTACCTCGTTTGGTGGCATAAATCTTTGGAATAATATTTTTACTATAAATATTAGATGATCATCTAGTAATCAAATTAAGACGATGATTCATTCACTTTTTAAACTAGAGTATACGCATACGTCATGTTATAGATTTTTAATGACTTGACACGTCAACATATATGCAGTTGCTACAGGATGGTTAAATTTAATGCGTAATTAAAAAAAATGGTTAAACTGGAAATTTTGCAATACTGAAATACTTTCCTTGACTTTTTTTGTTCTACAGAGTCTGCCCGTACAGAGGCAATCAAACCAACTATCCTTGTAAAATCAAGTACAGTGATTAGTAGATTTCTCTTAAGATAAAAATTAGCCTTACCATTTTTTTTGTAGGGATTTTTGCAGCACCCTGTGCTACAAGGTTACCTGGCGTGCCGACAGGTAACAAAAAACAGTAGGAAGCTGAAAACCCAGCTGTTATACAGAACCATAGTGGATTGTATCCGATTTTCTTTGCCTGAAATGAATAATGTAAAATGAATTGTATAACTCATGAGAATATTATCACTTTCAGCGGTAGTGGAGGCATGCGCAAGTTTTCAAAAATTACAAGTCTCCCTATCAAAAGGCAGCTAGCCAAAAATCTGACGTATCTTGCGTGATATTTTAAATGACTGTATGGTTTTTTTTTAATATGACAGAAACAACTTAAGTTACGAAAATAATTATAAACATGAAAATTATTATTATTATTATTGTTTCAGATTTTTTTTCAATCCTCGACTACTTTTTCAAAATATAATATGTGTATTTTCAAATATATCTAAGAACACAACCTTGATAATTTGAGAAAACCAATGAATGAGCGTGATTTAATTACAGACCTTGTTGGTCGTTGGGAGGCCTTGTTTATTTATTGTTAATTCTATTTATTTTATTTGCTACAAACAGTTGACGTATTAATTTTAATTATGCTTAACAATAAATTAATACGTCAATTCCGTTCAATTACACAAAAAGCAGATTGACCTTATATATCCAAACGAATTTTGTAACTCACAAAGTTGGCGTATTTCATATAATGCGTCCTGGCCTAAGTGGTTTTTACTTATAGCACTCCTCTGTCACTGACTACTACCGTAAACTCTCTAAGCCTGTTAATATTACCAATTTATTCTTACCAAACTCATCGCTATAGGTACGAACACGTTTGCTACAGCAACATTTGATGCAAAGTTTGTTACAAGTACAACAACAGTGATGATAAATAGTATCACCACAAATAATGGAAAAACTTTTAAGACTTCCATGGCATCACCAATTTTATCATTCAAACCGGATATCTTTGCTGCATTAGACAATGCGAATCCTCCCCCTGCAATAAATAATTTTACTGTTTTCAATCCAAAAAAATGAAACCTATTTTTAATCAAATCTGTTTATAAGTATTTTGTAGTTGTTTATTGTCAAGGTTTTGTCTAAATAAAAAAAAAGCATGATACCTCAGTGGAATCTAATAGCCATTACCCAATTATAAAGCATTTGTTATTCACTTAAGTATCAAGTAAGTTAAGTATCAAATAGAGTTGCCCAAATGACTATTCAATATCAGTCCCTCAAAATAAAAAGAAATTCAAGTTCTTAGTTCCTTACAACGTGCAGAACTAAGAACATGAATTCCCTAACGCAAGTCAAGCAGGCCATCCAGGAGACCAATGTTAAGTAGGTACCGGTAACGTATTTTTTGCTGACATGGTTAAGAAGGGATCTAGCAACTTTGTTCGCCCTAGCAGTCTCAGCTCGAGTCATTTATCCTAGTAATAAATCAAAAACCAGGGAGGATAAGACTATATTACAGAGAATTATAAGCCCTGAAGTAGTGAAACTGCTAGTTAGAGGAGTTCGTAAGATCAGAAACGCCAGTATTATTATCAGTACTGAGACCAAAAAAGACATTGAGAAGCTCAAGCAGACTGTCGAACTAGTCGAAACAGGACTGCAGGTTGATAAACCACACAAACGCAAGCCTCGAATTATTGTAATAGGAGTTTCCACAACAATGGCCGGAAATTAGGTCTATACATGTATCTGTGAACAGAACGTAGCCGACAAATACTTAATGACGAAAAATACATTTATTTATTTAACAATACATACCCAAAATATACGTAGTATTTATAAGAGTATAGATAACTTGAAAACTTTTTCAGCATAGGCCGAGGTGGGATCCGTATGGAATCCAAGGGCGGGTCGGCCCACTGCTTACGCAGGGGCTGACAAGCACTAGTGCTGCCGCCGGTGAGGGAGGGTTAGCCACCCTCTCATTTCGTAACCAACAGGGGTTCAGCAACGACCCAACTGGTGGCTCCAGGAGGGTACGCTGAGAACCTGTTGGCCGGAGGGCTTGCCTTAATTGGCCGACCTATGACAAGGACAGTCTATAACACCCGACAGCGAAGTCGTGAAGACTTGTGGATACCGGCCGACCTCCACAGTACATAGGCTTATCCGGGTGCAGGGGGCACCGCCCGGATGGACTTCATTTCCCCCGTACTCGTGGGATTAAATATGGAATTTAACACAGAAAAACAAAAACCAAAAACAACGGACGGATCTACCAACGACATTGGCTTAATGGAAAACGGACAAAGAATTTATAGAGAGGAGAAGCGCTTGACTAAGGCGAGAGAGAGTGACGAACGGCGGTTGCGGTCGCGTTCATTGAAAACACCTTTCTCCAGACCCTCCACCCCGCTGCCGCTTGACGGAGGTGATCGAGGCGGAGAGAGCGATAGCTCAGCCTCGATAGGGTCGGAGAGAGAGACACGCAGGCAGTCGCGGAAGCGAAGTCTACACGATGATGAGGACGGAACTGGTTTTGCGAAGCGGACACACAGTGTCAGTTAAGCAAACCAGCCCAGCTCAGCTGAGGTTGGCACCCAAATGCTGCTAAGTCTGGATAATGTCGAGGAGACATTGGACAGACCCCGCAGCACGAAGGCGGAAGTAATGAGCTCCATTCGTCGGGCCCTGCAGACTCTGCGGGACGGCGTTAAGGAGCTCTGCAACAGAGCGGTGACACGCGAGTACGAGGAGGTGTCCGTGCAGAACCAGGCGTCATCATCGTCGCTGGCGGACCGGGTGAGGGTTCTCGAACAGGAGAACGAACCATCTTCGGCGGTGCTGCGGAGATCGTCGGCCACAAAGGTGGCGGGAACGATCCCGCTGCCTTCCTCGATGGCGGAACTGGGGACGGAAATGGGCTCGCCAGTGCCACTGGCTCACCCGGCAAGGGAGGATCATCCGGACTGGGAAGAAATCGCGGCAATCATGAACCGTGAGTTTGCCCGATTCCAGTCCGGGCTTTTAGCTAGGTTCTTCCTAGAGAGAGGTGCCAGACCACCTCTAGGCCAAGGACGGACTCCAGTGGTGCGGCAGGCGGCTGCTGCCGCCACTGCGCTCTCTTCTCCTTCCAAGAAGAAGAAGAAGAGAAAAAAGAAGAAAAAGAAAGCGAAAGGGCTGACGGGGCAGCAACTGACCCCAGTAACGAGGCAGGCTTCAAGTCTTGGAAGGTCTACCCTGCCGGAACCAGCGATAAGGCAGGAAGGGGGCACCTGGGCCCAAGTTGTTGGGAGAAAACCCAAGGCTACCGCTGCGAGACAGGGTGCGGTTGCTACTCCCGTCTCGAAGCCAAAGAAGCCGCAATTACCGCGACCCCCCACCAATGCTGCCGTCGTGGTCGCAGTGCCTTCGGGATCCAGTACCTCACTGGCGGAAGTAATGCAGGCCGCAAAAGCCCGTATTAAGCTGGCGGAGCTTGGCATTACGGGTGGGGTCCGCCAGCGAAAAGCAGCCACAGGGGGCCTAGTACTGGAGGTCCCTGGGCCGGATAGCGCTGCCAAAGCGGACGCTTTGGCCGAACGCTTGCGCGCGGTCATGGGCGACACAGATGCGCGATTTATGCGTCCGTGCAAAACGGCCGAAATGCGGGTGATGGATTTGGACGAATCCATCACCGCCATCGAGGTTGCGGAGGCAATAGCCGCAGTGGGTGGTTGCTCTCCGTCCGACATCAAGGTCGGGGAGATACGCAGAACCGCAGCCCGATTGGGAACGGTTTGGGTCCGGGGCCCACTTACAGCAGTACGCCAAGCTGCGGCCGCCGAACGCGTGCAGGTGGGCTGGGCGTCGGTCCGTACCGAAGCGTTGGCACCACGGCGATTGCAATGTTACCAATGCCTTGAAATGGGACACGTCAGGGTAAAATGCTCAGGTCACCCTGACAGGAGTGGGCGCTGCTTTCGCTGCGGAGAATTGGGCCATAAGGCCCGAGACTGCGCAGCGAACGCACCGAGGTGTCCGGTGTGCAGTGACCACGGCCGGCTCGCAAACCATAGGCTGGGTAGGAAGAGTTGTTGCCCACCGAAGAAGCAAAAGGAGGGAGAGGTCCAGCCTCGCCCCGCCTTTGCCCAATCTGGACAGTCAGTGTCGAGTTGTAACTCGACGGCAGAGGCAATGGAGGCTTAACATTTCCACCACACGCAAGGGTTCTCCAGGGCAACCTCAACCACTGCCGCGCAGCGCAGGATCTATTAATTCAGACGCTCGCGGAGCAGTCGGTTGCCCTGGCAGTCATTGCAGAGCCCTATACCGTCCCGGACCATCCGCGTTGGTTCGGGGCGGTCGATGGCTCAGCGGCCATTTATTGGCCGGGCTGGGAAGGCTTCCATTGCTCTCTCCTAAGAAAGGGTGCTGGCTTCGTGGCAGTGGAGTGGGGGGTAACAGTGGTGGTGGGGTGTTACTTCTCTCCCAACTGGCCTTGCCGAATATGAGGCATACCTGCACGGGTTGGCAATCTGCATTCGCAGCTACGCCTCCCGTCCGGTATTCGTCCTGAGTGACTTCAACGCCCACTCAAGGGAGTGGGGTGACACTCGGGACGATGCGAGGGGAGAGACTATACTGGAGTGGGCGGCTGGACTGGAAATCCGACTTCTAAATCTGGGCTCAGTTACAACCTGTGTGCGATGGCAGGGGGAGTCGATTGTCGACCTGTCATGGGCGACTCCCTCTGCAGTGCACATGGTGTCGGGATGGCGGGTGGCGGAGGAAGTGGTCAATCTTTCTGACCACCGGCACATCGTATTCGATGTGTCTCTCCGCCGCGCTGACCGCCCACGTCAGGATCGAGAACCTCCGCGACGATGGTCCCTCAAGCGGCTTGACCGAGAGATGGTCGTTGCCGCATCCCACGTGGCGGAAAGGGTTTCATCCGATCCAGAAGAACAGGCGGCCTGGTTTGGCAACATTATGGCGTCCGTATGTGATGCCTCAATGCCCCGAGTCAGGCCAGCCAGGAAGGGCTCGGCGTACTGGTGGGGCGTGGAGATCTCGCAGCTGAGAACGACGGTCGCGAGATTGCGCCGCCCGTATCTTCGAGCCCGGAGAAGACGGCGAGCTACAGCCGAGGAGATCGAAGTAGCACGGCGGGAATATGGCGCTGCTGTAAAAGCTCTCAGCGATGCAATCGCTGAGGCCAAGGCTCGGTCCTGGAAAGATCTCATCGGGGGACTGGATAGAGACCCATGGGGGCGCCCGTACAAAATTGTACTAGGCAAGCTAAAACCATGGGTCCCTCCATTGACGGAAACCCTGGACCCGGAGTTCCTGGGAAGAGTGGTAGACACGCTCTTCCCAAGGGTCCAGGACAGTCCCTTGATCTCTCCGTTACAATCGGACCGGCAACTCTGGTCCGACGAGTGTGAGGTGACGGAGGGAGAGCTGGACCAAGTCGTGCGGCGACTGGCTTCCCGCAACACTGCGCCCGGACCTGATGGTATTCCAGGTCGGGCGCTGGTGATAGCTCTGTCGGTACTGGGGGACAAACTGAGACGGATTTTCACAGATTGTGTTAGCCTCGGTGTGTTCCCCCTCGGCTGGAAAGAAGCGAGACTGGTGGGGTGGCTTTGGCGGTTAGCCTTGATATCGTCAACGCGTTCTGCACCCTCCCCTGGCAGCCGATAAGGGCGGCCCTTGAATTTCATGAGGTGCCGCTCTATCTGCGGGCCATCATTGGGGTGACAGTGAAGTTTATCGGTCGGGGCGGGGTGGAAATTCGGAGACAGGTATGTTGCGGGGTTCCCCAAGGCTCTGTTTTAGGCCCTTTGTTGTGGAACCTCGCTTAGGATGTGGTCCTTCGCACCAGTCTGCCCTCTGGCCTTGTTGTCTGCTATGCAGATGACACTTTAATACTGGCTAGAGGGTCACACTTCGACGAGGTGCTTCGGCTCGCCGAGCATGGGGTGGCTTGTGTCGTGGGAAAGATTCATGAGCTGGGTCTGAGAGTGGCGCCTCGGAAAACTGAAGCAATATGGTTCCATGGCCTACGTAAGCGCCAGGAACCACCCAACTCATGCCTCCGGGTGGGAGACGCTGAAGTCCAGGTGGGCCGGTACATGAAGTACTTAGGCCTCATCCTGGACAGTCGGTGGAGCTTCGAAGAGCATTTCGTGCGATTAGTCCCCCGAGTGCGCGGGGTAGCGGGTGCACTGCATCGCCTGCTGCCCAATCTCGGGGGACCACGGGAAGAAGTTCACCGTCTCTATATGGGGGTCGTGCGATCCATGGTGCTCTATGGGGCGCCCGTCTGGTCTAATGACTTGGCGGGTGCCTCCCGCTGCAAGGCTCTACTCAGTAGCCTACAGCGGTTGATGGCCATACGGGTACGGGGTTATCGTACCATCTCGTTTAAGGTGGCGACGGTCCTGGCTCGATATCCACCCTTCGACATTCTGGCCGACATGGACGCGATGGTCTATGACCAAGTCCGTTCTGTCGGTCGGAATGGTGAGGAGGCCGCGCCGGATCATGAGCCCGGAATGCTACGGCGGAACGCGCATACGCAGACTTTGCGAGCGTGGCAGGCACGGCTTGTAATCCAGGGCTGTGCTAGCCAACGCGCCGTCGGAGCCGTTCTGCCGAGCTTCGAAGGGTGGGTAGGGAGGAACGACTGTGTCACCTACCGATTGACTCAGATGCTTACCGGGCACGGTTGCTTCGGTGAATCGAAACGAATGAATCGAATTGGATGGGAGGCCACGGCACAATGCCACCATTGCGGGTCCGACCGGGACTCCGCCCAGCACACGCTGGAGGACTGCCCTGCATGGGAGTCCGAACGTCGAGTCTTGGTCGGACAGATCGGACGAAACCTGTCACCGCCAGCATTAATCGCGGCAATGCTGGCGACTGGCGAGGGATGGGCAGCCGCGGTCTCCTTCTGCCAGGACGTTATGCTTCAAAAGGAGGCCGCAGAGCGGGATCGGGAGAGGGCCGAAGGGGACGCGGCAGAGGTCGCTAACTCCCCAATCGCCGCCTAAGGGTCACTGCGGCCACATCTTGGGGCCGCTGTAAACGACCCGAGACGGATGACACTCCGGTGCGGCCGGGGGGGTGTCGTCTAAGGCGGGATGCCGTTGCGCCTTTTACTCGGTAGAGCAGTGAGAGGCGCGATAGCGTCCTGCCCCAGGGTGACTACGGTCACTCCGGGATGTGTACGGCAGGTAGGACTCCAGAAGTCGCCGATGCGTTCCTGGAGCTCCTCCCGACTGCCGAGGTAGGCCGCCGCGGAGTTTAGGACTAAATATTGCATGTGATGTATCTTCCTTACCGAGTGTTGGTTATCTAATAGCCGCGAATCTCTTGCACTAATAGCCAGATATAATATATGTATATAATAAACATACAAAATACATACCAAAATATACTCAAAATAGTACTTTCAGATTAATAAAATATATAAACAATTTCGTTGTTGAAAGTACCTGCATTCTGGGTTTTTTCAAGCATTTGGGACCCAACGAAAATTGTTTTAGAGATTCAACGATAGTGAAACGCAATCATCTTGCATTTTTTGAATTTTGAAATACGGAAACGGATTTTTTTTTGTTTATTCCAAAATATTTAAAAAAAAAATTGGGATTCAAAACTGGGATCCAAATAAAATAAATCGTTTTAGGTTCCTGATCATGATAGTACCCGATAATATTCTATTTGCAAAAACAACTTGAGTTACCAGTTTGTTGATTGTTTTTTTTGTCTTAGCTTATAGAGTTAATCTATAAAATGCTTGTGTATGTATATATATGTGTATAGTCTTTACAGGCTTCAATCGAAGAACCACCGAAGTCTACTGTTTAGTAATCAAAATTGGCACAAATACAGCGATTATGTTGCTAGCTATGTATAGATCTCCTTCAGTGAGAAATTTGGACGCCCTTCATAATTCCCTAGATCAGACTCTTCGAACACTGACTGCTTTTAAAAATATCATACTAGCACCATCATCACGCTAGTTACTAACTTAAAAAATAATACAAATATTATAAAAAAATATAAATACTAGGTTAGTTAACTAATACGCTCTAACTAACACTTCCATATACGCACACATATAATAAATGTATTTAAAAAATTTCTAACTATAGCAGATTTAATTTTATCAGTCAAGTATCTGTATGTCAATAAATCATCCAATATTATTTAACCTCAAGCACTATATAAAAACTATTATATTGCCTCTAGAAAGAGCTCAAAGAACGTTTCTAAAAGTCCCCTCCCGACTTTTCCTATTTCTCACAACTATATTATATAAATCGTGCAAGCTGATGACGGTCCGTAATATATCACACAGTACTAAAACAACTTACATTGCTTACCTATCCCGCTAATATTTCTAAAAAAAGACTGAAAGATATAGTCTGTGCCTCACAATCAGGCTCATTTATTCAAATAGTTTCATTTCTTGGTTCATTTTTATATAATATATAGAGAGCTAAGTATTTATAAATTAAATTATGCTAGCTGTAAAAACAACAAACATAATCGTTTAAATTTTGTTGTATGAGCAAACTGAGCAGTTACTTAAACTATGGAAATAAAAATTCGCTGAACGATTTTAGTGCCTTTTTTTAACCGACTTCAAAAACACAAAAGAGGAGGTTATCAATTAGTCTGTCTTTTTATCATGTATCAATGTAACTACGCGATATCTCCTTCAATTATGTACTGATTTTCAAAATTATTTTTGTAATCTAATTCTAGAAAAATCGAGAAAATCCTCAAAATTTGCAGCTCCGACAACGTGTTTTAGCTTGTGTCTCTGGCTATATAGGAACCATTAGGAGTTAAAGGATAACTTTCAATAATATATTCATGTATTGAGCGTGTTTTATTCTTTTAAGATATTTGTTAGGTGTTTGTGTTGGGTTACAAAGATATGTGTAAGAGAGAGTAATATATGAGATTCAAATATTGAGAGAAGAAAAATGTTTTTACGCAATTATTTTTATGTTTATCACCTCAAAACTCTTTCAATTATGATTCGATTACGAAAATTATTTTTATTTGGAGCGGTATATATTACCTTTGGTTACTTTCAAATGTGAAAAAAAGAACCACTCCTAGTTTTGGCAAATCAAGTAATGTGGAAAACAGTATATTTTCGGGTTCAAATGTAACATCTTACTACCTTATCATAAATCTACTAAGTACTTACTTATTAAACTTTATTTATTAAACTTTATTTAATATAATCTAAGATACTACAGTTTGATAATATATATTACGGTACGTAGTGTTTTAAATTTTGTACTTATCTACTCATTACAAACATATCTTACACTAAAAATGGTAAAAGAAATCCTTGTAAAAATAATTTGGATCGACTTCAAGCAAAACTGACAAATAGCACTTAAAATTAAAAAATAATTACAAATCGAAGTAAAAAAAACTATAATAAGGACCCTCAACAGGTAACATTATAATAGCAATACTTTTACAAAAAAATAAGGTATACCAAGTATATGGGTACCTACTACAACTATCTACATGTAATAATTTGATTATAACACTCGAGTTGTAGTAAAAACTTACCCAATAAAAACATAAAAGAATAAGGCATTGTTCTGTTTGTTAGTGTCCAGTCCAATACATGTTTTAATGGTTTTTTTGGGAATATCTTCAACATCTATCAAAAATATAATTCGAGTTTAATATAAAATAAAAATATGTACCTAACTAGTCAATTTTTGAATTCATAAAGTACGTCAGTAGACCTTTTATCAGCAGAATAGAAAATTAAATTTAAAATCTTAAAATTTATACATAAAGCAAAAATCAGCACTGCAACACAATTAATGCAATAATTAATTAATGTTTATGTAATGCAACTTGAGATGGTTTAAAATTAGTTTTTGAGAACCATACACCTCATATTTCAACACTGTTAATACCCTATCAAGATCTTCTTGTAGAATACAACTTAGCCTGGAGTAGTAGGAGTAGGAGAGGCAAATTTCTGATGTGTATGACGTTACATGGCATATGTAGTAATAAGTTACGAGTATGTAGTAATAAGATGAGTCACGCTTATGCACTTAAATATATCCCGCGCAGATGACTGCGGCATGAATAAAGGCTCCCGAGAATAAGTCCTGTGGCGATGGGCAGAGGTAGAGAGGTCGCGTTGTGATGTGCACCCGGCTTTGTCTGATGCCTGCACACTGGCGGTTCTGGTATTGATGGTCGTTTGAACGTTGCATCAGGGACAACAGCGTGGATTGGGCGGCAGCCAGAATGACGGAGCAGCCCTATTTAGGGAGGCACTGCTTCCCTCGCATGGGGAGGGGACTAGAAAAGGTGTCCTAAGCAAAACTTGTCACACATTTACTGGGGGGTAGTAACCGCGGCTGCCCGAGCATCCCATTTTTTTTTTGTAGTCGAAAATACAAGAAAAATACAAAAACAACAATTATGACATTTGGTGTGTGGAATGTCCGCACCCTTCACGATGACGACGCTAACCTTTGTCCAGAGCGGAAAACTGCTGTTGTGGCTAGAGAGCTTTCACGCTACAATGTGAACCGCACCGAAACCCACTTGCCAGATGATGGCGAGCTTATAGAAGACGGTGGTAGATATAAATTCTTCTGGAAAGGTACACCGGCTTCAGAACCAAGATGCTCTGGTGTTGGATTTGCAATAAGGACCCAGATTGCTAGCAAACTGGAAGACTGTCCTGATTACATCTCAGACCGCGTAATATCATTGCGTCTGCATCTCGACATTGACAACTATTTGAACGTTATCAGCGCATATGCTCCAACAAGGACAAGGATGATGAAACTAAAGGTAAATTTTATGAAGACCTTACACGCTTGCTCACCAGGATACGCCCGAGAGAGCAGTTTCTTCTGCTGGGCGACCTCAACGCTCGAGTAGGCTGTGATTATGAAGCGTGGAAAGGGGTATTAGGAACTGCACCAGGGACTTCCTTTCTAGGGTATACCTGGTTCCCCGGCTATTAGTACCCGAGACGGCGTGCGGTTTTAGTCGGTTCGAGTCCGACATGCCACCGACAGGTGGTATCCGAGGGGATTTCCGCACGGAAAAAAAAAGAAAAAAAAAAAAAAAAGGGATCTTAAGAACAAAGTACACACACAAAGTAGACACAAAGACTTTAGATCAATTTCATCTCCGATGTCTGCGGGATATCATGAACATCCACTGGACGGACCGCATCAGAAACACTGAAGTTCTTCGACGTGTTAAGATCTGCGGTATTGAAGCATATATAATGCGACGTCAATTACGCTGGTTTAGTCACGTGTTCCGTATGCCAAATGAACGGATCGCCAAGTGCATCTTTTATAGCTAGCTTCAAGAGGGTAAGCGCAAGCATGGCGGACAACTCTTGCTATACACAGATGTGCTTAAAATGCATATGAAAAGCTGCAGTATTGACCCCTTATCGTGGGAGTCATCTGCGGCAAACCGCCCGGAATGGAGACGTCTCGTAAGGCAGAAGATCGATGCCTTTGAAAGCTCACGTAAAGACGAGCTCGACGTAAAAAGAGACCAGCTAAAAGCCAGACCACCAACAGCTTTAATTTACCACTATAGTGGCGGCGTTCTCACTTGTCCGAAATGCTCTAGAACTAAGGCCAAAATTGGCTACAACAGCCATATGCGAGCACACCACCACGAGGACCAACGAGACGCCATCTGCTGAGCCTGTCCAGCAGTCGCTGTAGCTGAAATCGGCTTGATTGCAGCGGCATCACTAATCAGTTGTGTTATGTGATGTGTTGTGTTCCACACTGAGAAATGCAGAACCAATGCCGGTGTACGGGCTCCTCTCCGTCACATTGTGGAAAAGTACAACACACACCTTGCCAGTATTGACATTTTTGCACAGTCGCAAACAAATTTTAAAATTGCAACAACTCCAATTTTTTAAACTTCGCATTAGACTAACTTTCAAAATTTATATAAAATTAAATATATAAAAAAAAAATCGCACGATTTACACGTCGTTAATTCAAATATTGTGGACATTGGTGTGGGTTGCACGTACACTAAACAGATTATTAACTCTAATTTTAAACTTGTTATTACCCAACTGTTTAATGTACAATTAAATAAATAAATAAAAAACTCACGTTCTATAAAACTAAAGCATACAATGGAGTAATAAATTCCATGATAATGTGCAGAGATGACATAACATGCTTTTTTTTGTTTAAAGATTTGTAGTCTTAAATAAGCAGTAAGACTGATATTTTAGAGTGACCTTTGTAATTTGCAGACACTGATTTAGACAGCTACAAATTGAAAATCATTCTTAAGGGGTAAGTAAAGCTATCCATGGTCCAACTGAGGGGCGATTATCCTATTGGTATGTATTATTATATTGGGCAAATTTATCATCGTGTTTCGGTTTAGCAACGATTAATCATTAATTTATTCTAAGTTTATTATCATAGTTATTAAGGAATTATGATCCATGGTTATATGTCTAATATTCTTATAATATATCTTATTATTATTTACAATCCTGACATCCTGACAACTTACAATAAAAACCATAACTCACATTTAACTGTAAAATGCTTAAAAAAGTCCAAGGTGCTTGGCAATGCCAACATAATAAAAATAGCTATAGAACACACAGCAGAGTCCAGGATACTGAAAAGTCATCAAAACAAATTATTAAGTTCTTTTCATAAATAATAATAGCCCTAGAGCCCACGACGGCCAGACGTCGCACAGCGGACTTTCAATATGTCTGGCAGGATGTAAAAACCATTAAACTGTGCGGCTATTGAAGTAACATTTTTTGATAGGTCCCCAAGTAACATATATAACCTTCAGCTTTCATACTATAATTATAGTTTATTAAAGTTTAGCTTAGTTTAGTCTGGCATGTCATAAGTATCATAAGTTTCCGGCAACAGATGACGAGATTTCTAATGTTATCCCGAAGAAAATAAAAATAAAATTGAGCTTTATACTTGAACGAATTTAAGGTACTAAAGGCATATGCCTTTATTACCTGTTGCCTGCCCAAGTAACCATAACCCAAACTCGTCGCTGGTCGTTCTTACCTGTATAGGGGACATGCACAGAAAAACTTTCAGATTTTATGAAAAAAAAAACGAAGACCTGGGCGTCGTGGGCTCTTACTCTACAATAATAAAATTTCGGACATCTAACACACTACGCCATCTAGTTTCAAACTAAGCAGAGTTTGTACTATAAAAGCTAGATTGACTGACAGATATACTTTTTTTAAAGACAGATAGACTAATATACTTTTTTTTTGCAAATATATACATATTATACATAAAAAACGCCGAAACCAAGATCATACAAACATTTGGTCTGATCCGGGAATTGAACCCGAGACCTCAGCACAGCAGTCTTATACGCTACCTTTGCACCACCGAGACTAAATCGAACAAACCGAAACAAATCTAATAATGGCGTGAGAGGTCTATGGACCCCCGGTCGGAACGAAGTTCCGCAACAATTGTCGGAAAAAAGTCTTGTTACACTTTTTTCGGTCTCGCTCTCATCCGCTCAGAGCGTGTAACGCGCGATAAGGAACTTCGTTCCAATAATAACTTTTACCATTCATTTATAGTATACTAAATTATTAAAATGAATATATATTTTGCACATTAACTATTTTATTTAATTGGATAAACATACTATTTCGGATTTGTTACTCCATAATTTTCATTAATGACATCAGCCCATCCAACGAATATTTGTGGAGAGCGACAGAAAAACAAGACCATTGCCCCAGCGAACAAAAATAACGACGCCTTTAATAAAGACAAAGTTTAAAGTTAAAAAATAAGTATTAAGTTGTGTGTGGTGACGGATTAAGAATACAGAGTATCACCATCCCTATTCATTCCGTGGGTGTCGTAAGAGCCTACTAAGGGAAAAAAAACTACGCAGAACAACAGCAATGCAGAGAGAAGGAAAACTTGACAGAAACCCGATACCAACCCGTCTGGCCAGCGTGGTATAGTATGCCAAAACCTCCTTTCTAAGGAGAGGCTTATGTCCAGCCATGACTGCTAGGCTTATGACTGTTAAAGACTGTTGATGAATGAAATGATGATAAAATAAATATTTTTATATTTTTAACAGAGGTGTTTTTGTGACAGTTCGTTATACTGGTCGTAAGTTTACATTATACTTGTATTTACACATAATAGATAACTTTTGTATTTTTAACAGGCTTAAGAAAATTGGTTTTCAATTCGGCATTTTTTTTGTTTGCTACGTGATTCCGCAGAAAGGTAAATAACGTGGTCCCATTTTCACCTGGTCAGGATCTGCGAATGGGATCTTAATTTTCACAGGCCTAAAAACATATTTTATATCTTGCCAAGTAGAGGTCATTATATCATGTATAGTGTGGGATTATAGTAAGTTAGTTTATTGTGATGTATTCTTGTTTTAGTATTTTATCTAACCATAATTTCCTTATTTTTCCATAGTTCAAATTTTAAGACCTACATGTATGTGTACACTTATAGTCCAAGATCCCAGGAGCCAACAGACGTCACGTATTTTCTGACGGATGAAATATGGACGATTGAAATGTGTGTGGAAATTAGCGGCAATCTTTTGGACTTGTGCTTTTCAGTTTTTTGGCCTCAGTAAATACAAGTAAAACCTCCGTATTACTTTATTATCAGAAAGTAAATCAATATTTTCCAGGTGCTCAAAATGTTACTTCACATTTGGAGAAGCCGTTTCGACTGACTCAGGGAAAGTAGATGGGCTAGGTATTGTTATAGGGTCAGGTATAAGAGTGGTTGTTGAATTAAAATGTTGAGAAGTAGATTCTTCTGGCTACTTGCTATGTCTAATTCAACTGTCGTTGAAGATTCGATAGATGAATTTTCTGCAATATTTGTTAATTTTTCTTCGGAAGTAGATCTCTTGATTGATTTATTTTTTGGTATTGAGTATTGACGACTTACTTTTAACTTTATTGTCTAAAACATAGTAAAAATCTGCCATGAGAATTAACGTGAAGTAAGTAATGTTTTTTATACCTGGAAATTGGCCGTTTGACCAAGCTAGCAGGTAGGCATACGATCATAGTACATACTAACACTACTCAATCGTCCACATTTCGTCCGTCAGAAAATACGTGACGTCTGGTGGCCCTTTTTTTTGGTGGCCCTGGGATCTTGCGCTATTATACTGTGCTCATCTTTAATTTAAAAGCATACACATATGTATGTACTTGTATGAACTTGTACTTGTTTTCTTGTGAAAGATCTTATTTTAGTTGGTAAGCCTTATGTTAAATAAGTAAATAAACTGATGGTCGAAGAGTCACGACATTTAGTAGTTACCCTTAACTACTAAAAGTCGTGAGTCAATACGTAGTAATAGCATTTTTTTATAAAAAAATGTTTGTGTCGAGTTATAGAGATAATAATATAAATAAATAAATAATACTCTACCACATTCACACAACGCCATCTAGTCCGTAACTAAGCAGAGCTTGTACTATGGGAACTAGACAACTGATATAAATACATATATACTTTTTTTTGTAAATACATATATACTTTTTTTTTATAAATACATAAATCGGCGGAATAGAATAAGGCCAACCCATCTCTTCCCGTGGGTGTAGTAAAAGGCGACTGAAAAGATTCCCTTTTGGGACTGTTTATCATCAGACACTACAGGGAAGAAAGAGCAAAAGACCTGAAACATGTGAGATGTATAAAAGATGAAGAGGGGAGAGTGTTGGTTAAAGATGAAGATATAAAAAAGCGATGGAAAACTTACTTTGAAAAACTTATGAATGAAGAGAATAAATGGAGCGGAGTGCTAAAGCATGTGGATGTGAATGTCGGACTGGTGAACGAGATTAGTGTAGATGAAGTTAGATTGGCAGTACGAAGTATGAAAAATGGAAAAGCAGTTGGCCCCGACGGTATACCAGTGGAAGCTTGGAAGCTACTGAAAGAAGACGGGTATGAGTGGCTGACTCTATTCTTCAATATGTTGTTGTTTGAAGAGGTAATCCCAAAGGAATGGTGTCAAACCCAACTCGTACCCATTTTCAAAAATAAAGGAGATGTTCAGGAATGCAACAACTTTCGAGGAATAAAGCTCATGTCATATACTATGAAAGTCTGGGAGAAAGTGATCGAGAGAAGAATAAGAGATGAGAGTCAGATAACCCAAAGTCAATTTGGGTTTATGCCAGGACGCGGGACAACAGATGCTATATTTGCAATGCGCCAACTATGTGAGAAATACAGGAGTGCGCACAAAAACTTGCATATAGTATTTGTGGATCTCGAAAAGGCATATGATAGGGTACACCCCGAGAGGTTTTGTGGTGGGCTTTGAAAGAAGAAAGAGTGCCTGTAAAGTATGTAGAATTGATTCGTGCTATGTACAGAGAGTCTAGCACTCATGTAAGGTCGGTCACGGGAAACACTGATCAATTCAGTGTCTCTGTAGGCTTGCACCAGGGATCAGCTCTGAGCCCATACCTCTTCCTATTGATAATGGATGCTCTGACATCGGACATACAGGAGGAGGCACCTTGGTGCATGCTATTTACAGATGACATTGTGTTGGTCGGTGAAGATGGGGTTGAGGTCCAGAGCAGACTGGAAAAATGGCAGCAAAGGCTGGAGAATGTTGGCTTGAAAATCAGCAGAACCAAAACTGAGTACTTGTTCTGCGATTTCGGCGGTCTCTCCAGTCCTAAAACCATTTCGCTGGATGGGATAGCGATAACAGTCTGCTCCAATTTCAAGTACCTCGGCTCCCTCTTACGATGTGATGGTGAGATTGATCAAACTGTACAGCATCGAATCAATACGGGATGGATGAAGTGGCGGCAGGTAACGGGAACAACTTGTGACCCCAGTTTCCCCTTAACACTGAAGGGACAAATTTATAAAACTATTATCAGACCTGCCGTCCTGTACGGCTCTGAAAGTTTGCCCATTAAGAGAACGGATGAGAGACGCCTGAACGTAGCCGAAATGCGAATGCTGAGATGGATGTGTGGTGTGACTCAGATGGACAAGGTTAGGAATGAGTATATACGAGGGAGTGAAAGTAGCGCCACTGAATGAAAAGTTAAGAAGTAATAGGTTATCTTGGTATGGACATGTCATGCGGAGGGATGAGGAAAATGTGGCGAAGAAAGTTTTAGGTATGAGAGTTGAAGGGTACAAGAGAAGAGGCAGACCGAAGAAGAGGTGGATGGACTGCGTCAGGAAGGATATGGCTAGGAAGGGAGTAAACAGTGAGATGACGCATGACAGAGTAGAATGGAAAAATCATACATACTGCGCCGACCCCAAATAAAATTGGGAAACTTGACCTTAGAAATTTCAACACACTCCACAACTTTTACCGATACGTCTTTTCCGGTGAAAGCAGCACGCCTCTGGAACTCATTACCGGAAGCTATAAGGCAGGCAAAGTCAGTAGGTATTTTTAAAGAACTCGTTAAGGATCACTATTTATCTCCGCAATAACTATGTGCTATACTGGTATGTTTATGTATTTTTTCATATTTATATTTGTATGTAAGTGTATGAATGTATATCCGTGAATGTGTAATTATGTATGTAAACATTAGTTAACATACGGAAGTAGTAAATGCGCACCACACGCTACATATTACCTTATAGTAAAGTAATATAAGGTTAAGGGTAAGGTTGCCTGAAAGAGATCGCAGGCTGCGATAAGGCCGCTCATTGTATCACTGTTTTTTTCTGTATGTATCATCGCATGTGTCCTATTTATGGTGTGCAATAAAGAGTACCTATCTATCTATCTATATTATACATTGAAACACCCAGACCAAATCAAACATTAAATGTTCATGCACTGAAATGTTTGGATTAGCAGTCCGTTACACAAACCACTACGCCATCCGGTCGTCAATAATATAATATATGCATAAGTAAAAAAATGAGATTACAAAATATTTCCATAATTAAAAAGTTCCATAAAGTTTGTTACGCTTTTGGTAAAACTTTCTTTTTAAGGAGAGGCTTATGTCCAGCAGTTGATTAATAAAGGCTGTTGATGACTTGTCCATCACTCATACATAGATGTGGTTCCGGTTATTTTATAATTATTCTCTTTATTGCATTAAATATACCTACATAAAAATTACATTTATAAATATATTTATGATTCATACAAAAAAACAAAATATATTTAAAAATATGAAAAATAGTGTCCCATTTTGTTCACGTCATAGTATTTTAGAAATCAAACCTAAACATTAAGTCAATTTTGTACGCAAAGTTTACCTCATGTCTCGATAGACGGCGTTGACGTTGATTTTAAAGTCGCGCTATCGTTTTGTTACCATAGAATATATAAGAAGCCACGATAATATTCATTAAATACCTACGTTCTGAGTATGTGGTGTGGTTTTATTGCTATAAAATACTCCCTACTCGTCGTATAAAAAGGGCGAAAAAGATCTTCGATGATCACATTTTTATCGGGTACAGGGACCAGAACCAGATGGTAGTTAGGACTTAAACAAACCTCTTCACAATACGTGCCGTATCATTAGGGTGTTATGCAACCAATTTTTACTGGTCTGTTTACTGTTGTATATGGTAGATATTATGTGAGTTCATATTCCTCGACGGATTAATTTAAAATAATCTATACAGATGTGAGAATCTACTTACAATTTCATGAAATCTAATTGGCCCCAGTGCCTTGGCATTTTTTTCCACGGTTTTTTTTTGCCGCTTCCTTTGCAGCTGGTGTAATTTTCGAACTTTTTGCTTCTGGACTGTCAGGCCTAAAATATATTTTAGTTTTAAATCTACCATAATGTGTTGAAAGACAGATTTAGCTAGTTATAGGTGGTAGGGTGTAAAACAATATTCTTGTCAGGCATCTACTAGAATAGCTGTCGGTAAATAAATTTATCTTAAAATAAAAAATAAAATACCTGAATGCCCCAAAATATAAGGTAATTAAATACAGGTACATAAACGCTTCCATGACAATCATGTATGGTACCGCAAAGGCACTGAATAATGGAAAAGAAAGATAATCTGGTTCTTTCGGATACTCCCTGTAAAAGAAATTGTTTTGCAATTAATAAGTGTTTATTTAGGTACATCTTAATATTGCCCAAACAAGTGTCCAACAACTTACGTCGTGAACAATCCTTTGAATACTAAATTGGTACCGGTGCCTACAAGAGTTCCTATACCACCTGAAATTGATTAGAATACATTTTTAAAATAACTATTAATGATACTCTCTTTGTAGAAGTAGTTTACACAGTGAAATGTAATGCGATTTGTAAGTTACTTTAAATAATATAGAAAACCAAAACATTGGCTTTATTAAAATAAAAACTAGACGTTGATTTACAAATTAAAGTGTGTATATATAAAAATAAACTGTGTATCAAAAAACTAAAAACATTTAAAACAACCTAAAGTATCTAGGTCAACTTAATTAGCAACGCTATATATATGTGTACATATGTATATAATAGTTCTCTAATTTATATGGCGTTGAAGTGTGAAAATGTGCGTAGCTCACCAATAGTTGCAGAGTAGGTGGCAGCACAAAAGTAACAGGTTGTCATGTCACTTGCTACTAAATCACCATCCGGTGTTGTGTCATACATCTTTAAAACTTTTTCCTGCAAGTTATTTATGTGTTATTCAAGATGTCCAATGATGATAATAATAATAATAATAAAGTAATAATAATAATAATAAGCCCCTAAAAATCCAACCACACGTCCTGATCGACCATCTGATCACGTGTAGGGCGGACACACGAAAGAGAAATTACTGGCGTGGCTAACGTGGCACTGGTAGGTAGGGATTAGAGTAGGCAGGCAGTAGAGCGACAAAATAGACGGTTAATTAAATGGGTAGATAGGTGGATAAGTTAATGGATAGGTAGGCTGGTAGACAATAGATAGGTAGTTAAGCAGGGAGGTAGGAATGTAAGGAGGGAAAACCCAAGCCAAGGTGGAACAGAATATGCCAAGGGCTGCGTGGCTAAGGGGGAGCTTAGTCGATAATATTCGAACTCTGAAGAAAGGGGGACCTTCAGTTTAAAGTACCCTTGCCGTGGTGAACGCGGGGCTATGCCGCGGTGGACCGTATATCCCCAGCTACTCGTGGGAACGAAATGATAAAAAATGCAAAATAAAACCAATAAGTATAATTTAAGGCCGCTACCCGGGGGTCGCCGGGACTCAATTAGAAATAATAATATTAATAACCAAACTGACAGACAGCATCGCTATCAGTAACTGAACCATATAGTCCCTCAACTAGCTCGTACAGACCTACACCGGTGTCTATCGTGGATGAAGATTCACACGAAACACCGAATCCAACCTTAGCTGTTACGCAGGAGGTGAATGCCTTTTTACCTGCGTCCACTAAGAGTGGAAAACCTAGAGTACGCATGAGGTGGAGTAAAGAAGTGAACCTATTCATCATGCGTACGTACTACCAAATCACTAAATTAGAGACAGACATGACAACATATAGGAAACAATTACGCGAACTTTTTACACGACACTATCCCGATATCAACGTTACTGAACAACGAATTGCCGATCAAAGAAGAACAATTGTTAGAAATAAACTACTAACCGAGGAAACACTACACATATTAAAAGAAGAAATACGAATGCAACTACAGCAAAATGAACACATCTACGAGTATATAGAAAATAATTCGAATCCTCAACTTCACAATACTCAATCAGTAACAACAGCATTACCTACACAGTCACAGCCACACACAATCACACAATCTTCACAGATATCCACACAACCTGAGACTATAACTTTAAAACTTGAGAATGATATAGAGATTATGCAAAATGTTAACCCCTCATCAGATAATATACAAAAAATACAAGAAAAATTTAGAACAGCATTAGCGTTATATTCTAGAATGGATCCAATCACTCGACCAAAATTGCCTAAATTAAAGTACAGTAGGAAACTTAGTGAATTAACACACGTTTTTAATCATAACATACTACACCAATTTTTATCCGAAGATACACAATTAACAGATATTCATACCTTAATATACTGCACAGCGTTAGTTATAAGTGAAGAACTAAATTATAAACTAATAGATCACCCTAGAAATATACTAAGAAAGAATAGTAAACCTCCATGGCAAATAAGACTAGAAAAAGACATTGAACAACTTAGAGCAGATTGCGGCAGACTTACCCAATATATCAACAACAACAGGTCAAACAAAATAGTTAAGAGAGTAGAACAAATTTTTAGAAGACAAAGCACTCACACTAGACACGAAAATAATAATAGAAAACCCGAAGAATACCTAGACACATTAAAACAAAAATTAGCACTTAAAGTACATCGACTGAAAAGATATAAAAAAGCACAACAGCGTAGAAATGACAACATGTTATTCACCCTCAATGAAAAATCATTTTATAGAAACCTATCGAAACTACAAACTGCTACAACTAGACCCGAAAACATAGACATTCCTACACAGACACAACTTGAAATATTTTGGTCAGGTATTTGGGAAGAACCGGTACAACACAATGATAAAGCAGACTGGATTACAGAAGAAGAAAATAAATGGAATTCAATAGAAGAAATGGAATTTGATTGTATTACAGAAGACGATATTGCACACGTAACAGGTAAACTACACAACTGGAAATCTCCTGGCATAGATAAAATACATAATTACTGGTACAAAAAGATAACATAATTTCACAAACCTATAGCCAAAAACTTAACATATATCATTCTGGGGAAACAGAATATACCTGAATTTATAGGTATGGGTATAACATATATGCTGCCAAAAACCGCACACTCACCACAGCCTTCTCAATACAGACCCATCACATGCTTACCTACTATATATAAAATTCTTACATCAGCAATAGCCCACAAAATTAAAATGCACATTGAACACAATCACATAATAGCAGAAGAACAAAAAGGATGCAGGCGGGGACACATGGGATGCAAGGAGCAGCCGATCATAGACTCTACTATCCATAAACATGCTACTACAAAAAACAGAAACTTACACTGCACTTACATAGACTATAAGAAAGCGTTTGACAGCATCCCACATTCTTGGCTTATAAAAATTTTACACATCTATAAAATTAACCCTAAAATCACAGATTTTATGCGCGATATTATGAGCCATTGGAAAACCACATTACATCTAAATATGAATGATAGAACAGTCACGACCCGACAAATCTCTATAAAAAAAGGTATATATCAAGGTGATTCCTTGAGCCCCTTATGGTTCTGTCTTGCCTTGAATCCCTTGTCTCATTTGCTGCAGCGATGTCAGGCAGGATATCGTCTGAGGAATTCTACAGAAGAAACTATTATTTCTCATCTCATATACATGGACGATATTAAACTATATGTAAAATCCGATAAAGAAATGACAAAACTATTACAAAATACAACAAAGTTTAGTAAAGATATAAATATGGAATTTGGACTGGATAAGTGTAAAACGTTACACATAATCAGAGGGAAAATACGCCCTGGGGACTACGCAGTGGATGAGTCAAGTACGATAGCAGCTATGGAGTCAACAGATTTATACAAATATTTAGGTTATAAACAACTTAAAGGGCTAGATCACACCTCAATCAAACAAATATTAGCTACTGAATATAAAAGTCGAACTAACACTTTATGCAAAACCCAACTTTCTCCTAAAAATCTTATAAAAGCATTAAACAAGACTTGCAACGAATATTCGGTTACTATTCGGTATTCGGCCTATTCGGCTGCTTTTATTATATTCGGCCGAATACCGAATATCTACATATTATTCGGCCGAATACCGAATACTTAAATAATATATTTTGTCATTGAGAAATAATTGGTAAAATGAAAAATTAAAAACGATTGATTACGTATATATTCATATTTTTATTTCTGTTATAATCATTTAAGTAGTCATTGGTGCATAACACAGGTACATAGTCATCTTCTGAATAGGAAAAATGGAGGATTCTATGTATTTGAATTATTGTGGTAATCAAAATTTAGAAGGGTAAGGTTATCATTTGTTTGTTTTGTTTTGTTTGTTTTTGTTTTTTTTAAAAGACAACTCCCGCATTAGGAATACATTCCTGTGTCGCGGGGGATTTTACAAACATACATGAAACGGACACAAAGAACACCCAGACTTAGAACAACAATTTGTGGATCACACAAAGTGTCGTCCCATGTGGGGTTCGAACCCACACGTTCTTTTATAATCATTTATTAAGTAGTCATTGGTACATAAAACAGGTACATAATTTAATTCACGTCTGTACAAGTTTTTGGCGCTAAAATCCAGCCGAATACTTTTGCCTAATATTCGGCTATTCGGTCAGGGGCCTCGCCGAATATTCGGTATTCGGTATACTGCCGAATATACTATTCCTTGCAAGTCTACATTAAACACATACGCTATTCCAATATTAACCTACTCATTTGGCATTATAAAATGGACAAAAACTGACATAGAGCAAATAGAACGAACTACACGCACTACATTAACCAAACACAACAACCTACACCCTAAATCCGCCATAGAAAGACTTACTATCAAAAGAGAAAATGGTGGCAGGGGTCTAATAGATATTTATCATCTTTGGCAAAAACAAGTTTATAATCTAAAAACATTCTTTCGCACAAAATCACACACAAGTCACATCCACTTAAATGATCACACTGGAATACACAACCCTAATAACATAGACCCACAGGCAGACAAAATAGAAAACTGGAAAAAAAGGTACTACATGGAAGACACCCTCATGATTTAGAGCAACCCCACATTGATACAATAGCGTCAAATTCATGGCTTAAATTCGGTAACCTATTTCCAGAAACAGAGGGATTTATAAAAGCTATACAAGACCAAATAGTTAATACGAAAAATTATAGAAAATATATAATCAAAGATGAAACCGTTACAGATGATAAGTGCCGAAAATGCCACATTCAATCTGAAACCATTCAGCACATTACTGGAGCATGCATTACCCTCACACAAACGGATTATACACATAGACATAACCAAATAACTAACATCATCCACCAAAAATTAGCACTCAAACATCATCTTATACAAAACACAAACACACCTTACTACAATTATACTCCTCAATCTGTATTAGAAAGTAGCTCACACAAACTTTACTACGACCGCGCCATCCTCACAGATAGAACCATCCACTATAACAGACCAGACATAACCCTACAAGACAAAATTAACAAAACCACATACCTAATTGATATTGCAGTACCGAATACACACAATCTACAGAAAACCATCACAGAAAAATTTAGCAAATACACAGAACTAAAAGAAGAAATAATACGAATCTGGAGACAGGAAAAAGTTTACATAGTACCCATAGTTCTATCTACAACAGGAGTTATACCTAAACATCTTCACCATAGCCTTAAATTAATCAATTTAAATGAATCCGTGTATTTTAACCTACAGAAAAAGCAGCAATATTGAACACTTGCCGAATAGTCAGAAAGTTCATGGATATTGAAGAGAACGGAACAGCACAACACACACAGCAACCACCATCTACATCTACATAACAAAGACACACACACACCTCCACCTCACTGTATTTACTTGGTTTTGGCCCGTAAATACAGTTGAAACCAGCCTTAAGCTGAGAAAAATTAAGATTACAAAAATAATAATAATAACAACAGTAGAATTTCTAATAATAATAATGATAATAATAATCTTTTGTTATTAATGATGTTTTGCATTTTATGTAAGTACAGGACCATTATTTGATAATAATAAACGGTTTTTGTCATCGTGATATTTTTCAACAAAAATTCTACAAATTGATTTTACGATGCGAATCAATAATCTCTGATATTTTTCACCTTGTGTTACTACTATCATTGTCTAATGCCATTTAGGGTACTAGTGACGCTACATTGTATCATCATTTTACGAGTATTATGATTTAGATCTATTAAATAAGTGGTTAATAATTTTCCACTGTCCATTCCCGCTTTGAAAAAAAAAAACAGATTTTGTACATGAAAATCGGTTGTTTTTCTGTTATGTGTAGAAATCTATCTGACCCACCGCACCATCAATTTACACTACTAGTAGTTTTATTTTATCGATACGTAAAGCGTGAGATCGTATATCGATATGTTTTTTTTAAATATATTTATATCATTTTCAAAGGAGGATGAAAGGATTTTTTTTTTTTTTAATTTTGTTTAAGTCACTAGTCAAGAAATAACTAGACCATAAAGGAGAATGGTCACTACTTTAACACCAACATGCAAAATTTTGTAGTTGTTAATGTATAATGGTAAATTAATTACCACCAGCAAAACTATTTTTTTAAATTTTGTTAAAAATATAAAATTAGTGACCCCTAATTTTATATATATATACACTTACTTCTTCAAACACTTTCAACAAAGCAAAATTAATAGGAACCATCATCGTAGTAGCTGCGGTATTTGATATCCACATTGATACAAAGGTTGTAACTGAACACATAGCAAATAGTAATCTGAAAAAGAAAAATAATAAGGAAGGATGCATTTCAAACGATCAAAGAACTTATCACCCATCAATTTATATTCATCAATGAAAAAGCCATCATATTACATCAAATATATTATTTCACTGCAAATAAATCAATTGTTTCACAAAACTAGTACAGTCGGCTCTTGATAATTTGACACTCGTTAATTTGAATCTCTCGACAATTTGATTTTTTTTTCCGGTTCCTTGAAAATTACTCGATAAATTGAATAAAATCAATGTTAAATTGGTCTCCTCGGTAATTTAAAGTTGAGGGAATAGTATCTTACTCGCGAACATGCGATAATTTGAAGTCCGGGCTTCCCTACTCTCTAGTTTGAAGCGTTTATCATGCACAGACCTGTCGTTTGTTTACATACATGTACAGACCTGTCGATTGTTTATATAAATGAGATATGAGTAAGTTCGCATTTTAGTCTTCTTTCAAACGTTAATGAGTTATGTTTATGTTTGATTTGTGCTACTAAAATGAATCCTAGAAAGAACAAATGTCTTTCCATATTTAAAAAAAAGCGTGTGATTCAAACTGTGAAAGATGGACAGTTAAAAAAGATGTCGCTAAACAGTTTGGTATTTTGCCGTCGACATTGTCAATGATTTTGAAGCAGAAAGATTACATTACTTGACTACATTTATTGACGATCATACGGGTCAACTGATTGACTATCGCTGCCCATGAACGTCTGCAACTCATCACCACATCAGAGTCACAAACGCGTTGCCGGCCTTTTAGGAAGGAGTACGCTCTTTTCTTGAAGGTTTGAAGGTCGTATCGGTCCGGAAATACTGCAGACGATAACCCATTCCACAGATTGGTTGTGCGGGGCAAAAAGTGTCTCGAAAAGCGCACAGTAGTGGAGCGCCAACTATCCAGGTAATGAGGATGAAAATTTTGCCGTGTCGAACGATGGCGGAAATTTGCGTCTGGTATTCCGAACAATTTCTCGGAGCACTCTCCATGATATATGCGACAGAGAATGCAGAGTGAAGCCACATCTCTTCATAACGCCAAAGAATCGAGCCGATTGGAGATGTTTGGGCTATCGACGATGCGAGTCGCTCTTCGTTGGATGCGGTCCAGAGGGTGAAGCTGGTACTGAGGTGCCCCTGCATAGAGATGAGAACAGTATTCCATATGCGACTGGACTTGCGCCTTATAGATCTGAAGGCAGTGGGCCGGAGTGAAATACTGCCTCGATCTGTTCAGGACACTGAGCTTCTTCGAGGCCAATTTGACCTTATCCTCTAAGTGACCCCGAAACTGGACTTCGCTCGATATGTCGATGCCTAGGATTCCGATGCTGGCTGAGGCAGTTAGGGAGGTGCTCTTAAACTGAGGTAATACGACAAATGGTATCTTTTTTGCGGTGAACGCACATACCTGTGTCTTTTTTGGGTTAAACTGGACTAGATTTAGTCGGCCCCAATCTGTAACCTCCGCTAAGGAAGTTTCTATTTCAGACAAGTTTGTTTCGACTCTCGATGACGTTGTCCCGAGAAATGTTGGGGCGGCCGGTATAAAGGGCATCTCCTGTGCTGTCATCTGCATAGCAATATATGCTACTAGTTTGCAATATGTCATTGATATGCAGAACAAACAGTGTGGGTAATGATAGCACACAGCCTTGTGGGACACCAGCATTTACGAATTTCAAGTCGGAGCATGCACCGTCGACAACGACCTTAATTCTTCTGTCCGCAAGGAAGCTGATGACCCAATTACACAATTTCTCGGGAAGCCGTCGGCGGTACGTTTCCCCCGTGATCCAAAGTCGAGTTGGATGCAAAGAATTTGCCAACGAATTATCTCCCATCTGCAGGGGTGGAAAGGATTGATCAACTGAAGTTAACTAGTATAAGAAGGAAATAGTGACTGAAAATCCTCATTCAACTTTGAGACAGATAGCCGCCGAACTTTCTGTATCTCACGAGTCGATCCGTACTATTTTAACAAATCATTTGGGTATGAAACATCTTACTGCTCGGCTAGTCCCAAAAGACCTGAATTTTCTCCAAAAACTCATTTGCACGAGAGTCGCTGAGAACATGCTAGAACGTGACTCGTTCTAGCATGTTCTCAGCGATTCCGAACCAACAATTCATGAAACGCATTGTTACTTATAGTCTTACTTATATTTGTCCATCCAAAGGTTGCTTGTAAGAGATTGCTTTTTAGCGATAAGGCCGCTGTACATGGTCATTAACTTGGAATACTATTGTATGTATAATATCCTGAATTGGTGTACAATAAAGATTATTCTATTCTAAAATTTAATTCCTTTTTAAACTCAATACTATTTTGGTGTGAACTATTTACCTACAAAAACAACTACCGAGGTACTGTTAAAACTCCAATATTCCCATTACTATACGATATTCTACAATGTGTATGATACGAGATCCAAATATTATTTTCAAATAGTGCAACGATCCTAAAACTAAATACGAGGACCGCGAATGCGCAGGACCATATACGAGATATATTCATTATTTTAAGGTCTATAAAAAACACGAAATTGAACAATTTTCAGAAACATTTAAAGAAGGGAAAGGGATTTAAAGGGTAAAACTCGTACAAGATCTGAAGAGTCTCGTCGCGTTATTACGACAGGAACAATACGAGTACTTTTCGGAGTTGTAAAGTCATAAGTGTATAGTGACAGGTAGTACAGATTTGCTTTCTCAGCGAGGGTGTTAAGGATCCTTTCAAATACATACTTGAAATGCGAGTATCCAATAATGCGCACAGCGAAGTAAACTAGACGTTTGTGAACTCCAGATTGTTCTATACAATTCGCAAGAAACAAACTTCCAAGGAACATTATTATGGTATCCTGAAAAATAAAACCATTTAGTGAATGTAGTTCAACTATTGCAGTAAATTTTAGCATTTTGTGTTTATAATATATGTATATATATATAATACCAAACTGGTAACCAGTAAAATCTGGTAAAATAATAATATTTTCGGACGTTGACACACAGCGCCAACTAGTTTCAAACTAAGCAGAGCTTGTACAATGAAAGCTAGATTGACTGATAACATTCTTATATACTTCTTTTGTAAATATACATATTATACATAGAAAATACCACCATACAAATAAATATTTGAAGATCATACAAACATTTGGTTCGACCCGGGAATCGAACCTGAGACCTCAGCACAGCATCGCTTACGCTACCACTGCGCCATGGAGGCAGTTTATATATATATGACTGGCCTGTTGGTTTAGTGGTTAGTGACTTTGACTGCTACGTCAGAGGTCGTGTGTGTCAAATAATTGTGTGAAAAACTCGGTCATTTATTGTGTCTGTTTATTGTGTAATATGCATGTATTTAGAAATATATAAGTATGTTTAACAGCAATCTGGTTACCATAGTACAGGCTCTGCCTAGTTAAAGACCAGACGGCAGTGTGTGAGATGTTTGAAAAATATTATTATAAAACTACAAAATAAAAAAGTGTCGTAATACAAGCATAACATATTAAGATACAACAGTGAATATTGTATTTAAGATATACCATTATTCCTATTATAAATTGTAAAAAGAAAGATAAAATTACACTTACATTCATATAGCAACGGCAAACATTACGAGTGCTCATAACGCCAGATAAAGAAAATATTACCACAGGAAGGAAGCCAGTTACGGCAATAGGTATGCACTCAGTCATCCAAAAAACAGCCATTATCAACAATGTATAAGCAACCCAACAATAAGGCTGTAAAGGTAAAATAATTAAATAATTAAGGAACATCATCATCAACAGCCTTTAATAGTCCACTGCTGGACATAAGCCTCTCCTTACAAAGGAGGTTTTGGCCTACTATACCATGCTGGCCAGACGGGTTGGTATAGGGTTTGTGTCAAGTTTTCCCTCTCTTTGCAGTGCTGTTGTCCTGCGTAGTTTGCTCCCTTAGTCGGCTCTTACGACACCCACGCGATGAATAGGGGTGGTGACACTCTGTATTTTTAATCCGTCACCACACGGACTATCCGTCACCACACGGACTAAATTAAGGAACGTTCAAAAATAATCCTGTCGACCATTTTTATTTGCCTAACACATCAGCGTGGTCAAATTCTTTTCTTTCTTTTCAGAAAGACAAGTCCCACATAACGAATATAGCCTATGTGGCGGGGGACTTTACATAGATGAAACGGACACAAAGAACACCCAGACTCAGAATAACAATTTGTGTATCACACAAAGTGAAGTCCCACATGGGGATCGAAACGAAAAAACATTCAGCACAGTAAGTAACGGCGAGGTGACCGCTTAAACCACTACGCCATCCGTGCAGTCAATATTGATGACCGGTTCTCCAATACAAAGAAAAGTGAATACATTCGAATCTCAAAAGAACTTTGTGTTCTTTGTCCTTCTAGGCAAGACAAGAAAACACGACCCACTGACGAGTAAATGCTCATTGAATTCGGCCAACTTTCTATTGTTACTTAAAGTCTTAAAGGGAGGCAAACACGTCACCTGATCGTAAGAGACTACCGCCGCCCATAGACATCTGCAACTTAACCCCGCTCTACCCCTCACCCTCACCCCTGGACAGGGGCAGTAGGGTTTTGGGCTTCAAAAGCCAGCCCATTTACGTTGAAGCATGGCTCTCCTACGGCAGAAGTATCATCATCATCATCATCATCATCATCATCACCAGCCTATCGCAGTCCACTGCTGGATATAGGCTTCTCCCATTGCACGCCACTTAGATCGATTTTCGGCTTCTCGCATCCACCTGCCAGCCATCTTGCGCAGATCGTCACTCTGCCTGGCCTGTGGGCGTCCTACACTACGTTTGCCTAGAAGAAGTAGTAGTAAGTGCCTAGTGGCCAGAAGTATGGCTCCCACTATTGAGTTAAACAATTATAAATTGATTTAGTGCCTAATATCTAGTACTCTTAAATAGTTTTATTAATATTTACCTCTGCAGGAAGTGGAAGTATCACGAATAAAAAAATTAAAGGTGTCACTGTAGTCAGAACGCCGCGCCAATGCACCGAGATAAAACATTTCACTATTTCTGGGACGGTTATGTTGTCGTTTACAACTTTGACACGTCTATGTAAAAACCAAAATAATTATTGATAAAATGGTTGTGAATATATTGTTTTGTATTCGTCAACCTAATGGTGACCCGCGTGTCAAGTTGACTTGTGTCGACTTGTATCGCTTTATTATGCTGTGTGCTCTTGCACTGGTTAGCTAGTCAACTACACTGTATCAAGTGATAAAATCTTTGACCGACTTCGGGTTAATCAGTCATATCTGCGCCTATAACAAAAATAAATCCATAGCAAAGTTCGTTCTTGACGTCGCGGATGAGATCATCATCGTAGCTCAAGCGGCTTTATGTCATGACATTTTCTACACTTTAAACTAAAATAAATCATACTTACTTCTTAGCCTTAGCCATTTTTTATGAACACTACGAAGTTTTTACTGCTTAAAAATGCAGTTTTTATTTCTCTTACGAAAAACCAATATCGTTTTCTTCTAGTGAAATGACTGCAAAAGTCTGTCTAAATCAATAGTGACGGAATAACATAATATTTGAAAATGGAATTTCGCTAGCCCGCTAAGTAAGAATTGTCCAAAGAAGTATTGTTATAAAACTGTGAGACAAAAATAAAACATTTTTTTCTCAGGGTTGGAAAGTATTCGTGATCTAATGGAATATTGATACAATAAAATTTGATCGAGATTTGACTTCGACTACAGAAATAAACAATAGTTGAACGAAATTCGTTTTTCTTATTTGAGTTTCTAGTCTTAAAGTTCATTCTCATAGTCTTAAAGTTCATTCTCATGGATAAAAGTAATGTTTGTTCCACCTATCTTCAATCTCCATAAGCATAAACCTTGCGGACCAGCAGAAGTAGGACAAAGACCGGAGCGGGTTATACCCGGAGCGATCTATTGAATTATCAGTCAGTCAGTTTTTTTTTTTCCCTCAACTCGCTGTGTAATTTTAGTCACTTTTATTTTAACAAAGCACTTGAACAATAAAGAAAGCGCCTTTTTCTAAATATTATATCTCTATACCAGCTTTTGTTCGCGACTTCGTCCGCATGACCTGGGCACGCCGTGATCGCGGAGATAAGACCCGTTATGGAGGATTGGCTCAAGAGGTATCACGGAACCCTCTCATACCGGTTGACGCAGGTGATCACCGGGAAAGGATGCTGATAGAATGCCCGGCGTGGGTAGAGCAGAGGCGTTGCCTCGTGGCGGCCATCGGAGTGGGAATTCTCTCGCTCGGAACATGATTGCCGACATGGTACGGAGCGAGAGTTCGTTTAACTCCGCCGTCTCCTTCTGTAATTAACCTACCTAATAACACCTAATTCACTTATTTACGAAATATTAATGCTATTTTGGTCTAAAACTATTTTTTAAAGCACAGTAAATACGGAACAATCTTAACTTAAATTTTATTAGATGGTAGCGCCATCTAGATACCATCATCTTAAATTTAAAATTTATACAATAGTAATAAATTTTTATTTTGAAAAAAATCTAATATAAACGAACGATTCTGTTATATCTATATTTTTTGGAAAATATAATCATGTGCCATCAGAACAGTAATAATGCAGTTTTTTTTATAAAAGTTACTATAGTTTAAGAGTTAGCGCTACTGCTACACATTTATTTTATTATTACAACTCTTTAATCGGTATTATTGAAAAAATGCCAGGGATTATTATGCTTATGTCCAGCAGTGGACTATTAAAGGCTGTTGATAATGATGATGATGGGGATATTAAGAAAAAAAATTATGACACTTCCGTCTAAATACGCGCTACTGAACTTTTTAATATAAATCTACAGTCTTCCTAAATTTGTCTGCAGCTAAAACATTTGCTCATCTATTGATGACATATTTTCAATGAAATAAATGCAAAGTTTAGAAATATCATTTTTATATATTAGTTTAAAAGAAATTTAAAACTTTGTTTAAAACAAAAAGCGTAGCATTACTGGCGGGAGCGTGCCATTATTGGAGGAATGAGGCACGGTAGCCCGGCAACAGGCGGGTTGGCACGACAGCCGAGCCCAGTCTACGACTCGCCGGCAGTGTGCGCACACTTCTCATAGAGTTGGTTTCCGGCTGCACTTTGGGCGGGACGACACGACAAGCCGCCTAACGTGACCAAAACACTCGATTACAATAGCTATTTTGTGTTGAATAGTGATTATTACAAAGGAGAAGTAATCTGTAATGCGTGTTATAATTACTGTTAAACGTTTATCATAATCGTCGTCAAAGATGACCGAAATCATTAAATATTCATGATAAATATCTCGTCAGAAACACGGATCGTGCAACGTAGCACCGCTGTATCAACAGGTTAGTTTCATCATTTGATCTAACATTTAATTTGATTATAATTTTAATTACTGTATAATATTTCTTTTGTTTGTGACTACCTATGTACTCGTATTTAGTAATAAAATGAATTCTGTATTGCTACAATAGAAATGTGTTGTTTGTCGATATACGAAAATTATTCCAGATGTCTTGAACTTCTCGATAAAGCTTTGTTTTTTTTTCATTGTGTTTATTTTAAACAATAATCGCTATTTTTAGACCAAACTTGAATTACGTTTACCAAGACTTTTATGAATAGCATCGTGTAGATACTACACTACATTTTCAATTATCTGATTCGTTCAAATAAAAATTAATTACATTAGGCATTTTGGCTCTATCGACATATCGCTCTATATACATAATTATATATTATGGCCTGTGACCACGACCAACGCAACCTGGTCGAAACGTCAGGCAGTTCAAAGGTATGTTACCTACTTAATAACCACCGTAACGTTACGTTACGTTAATTCTCGTAATACATAATTATGTACTGTTATGCTGTAGATAAATAAGTTTTAAATGAAACCTTGCTAGCAATGAAAATATCTGCGGAAACTAACGGCACACATTACTAACGTAATTATTTAACTGTGCAGACTATTTACTAATAGTTTATGATAATGAAAGTAAAATAAAAAAGTAAAATTGATCTTTAAAAACAATGTATTTTATTGTATTAAAATGGTTTAAAATGATATAATAAATCTTTTAATTTCCAATTTAAAAAAATAAAATTTTTCCCAATTTGTTTTAAAAATGATTCTTTGATTTTTAAATTTTAAAAGGCGTTTTTCAGAAATCAATTTTCCAAAAAATTGTTTTTTTTTTTTTTTAAAAAATTCCCCCAAAATTTTTAAAACTGTATTTGTTTTTATTTTCGTTTTTTTAAAGGGGAATCATTTTTTATTTTCAAAAAAAAAGCTATTTTGCAACCGGCCTTTTTTGCTCTAAAATAATTTTTTTCTTGCAAACATGCCCCTTTTTTTTTAAAAAAAGGGTTTTTTTTTTCCCTTTTTATTTAAATTTTCCTCTAACAAATGACTTTTTGAAAATTAATTTTTTTTTGGGGCAAAAATATTCTGAAAATTTTTTTTTTTTTTTCTTTTGGGCAGCCTTTAAATTTTTTCCGAAGTTTTGAAATTATTTTAAATTTTTTTAAATTTAAAAAAATTTTTTAAAAAAAATTTTTTTTTTTAAAAAATTTTTTTAAAATTTACTTTAAAAAAAATTTTTTTTTTAAAAATTTTTTTTTTTTTTTTTTTTTGGGGGGGAAAAAAAAATTTTTTGTTTTTTTTAAAATTTTTTTTTTTCCCCTTTTTAAAAAAAAAAAAATTTCCCCCCTTTTTCCAAATACAAAAAGGGTCCAAAAAAAATTTTCCCCAAAAAAATTTTTTAAAAAAAAAAAATTACCCCAAAAAAAAAAAAAAATTTTTTTTTTTTTTTAAAAAAAAAAAGGGGGGAAAAAAAATTTTTTTTTTTTTTTGGGGGGGTTTTTATTTTTATAAAAAAAAAAAAAAAAAAAAAAAAAAAAAAAAAAAGGGGGGGGAAAAAAAAAAAATTTTTTTTTGGGAAAATATGAATTTAAAATTTTTCCTTTTATTTTTTCAACCCAAATTTCTTTTATCCAAAATATATGGCAACTTTATACATTAGATACTTGATGTTTGTCGTATGTTCTATGGAATAATCGGTTGTACGAGTGTTATACTTATATAATTTTCGAATACTGGTCAACCGATCAACATGAAAGCCTGCATACACGTTGATTGAGATACAAAGAAGGACATAATAATAATACTCTCATCACTGTCGCATCCAAAAAAAAAACATTGGGCTAGCTAGTGTAATTATACTGATTTAATACAATTAAAAAACAAAATCAGATAAGTGCGAGCCCGACTTCTTCATAAGTGAAATTGTACGGAGCCGGAGCCGGTTGCGTACAATTTCACTTATAAATTAAATAATATATTATAAGTATTACTGTGTTTTATACTTACGTACTTTAAGTAAAGGCTATTTCTTTTCCTTTTGAAGTACGAAACCCTAAAAAAAGTAGGATATTTTTTGTGTAATGGTGCTTCAATTGTTTATATTCAAACTTAAACTCAAATATCATTATTTTATAAATTTTAAAAATTATTTAAATTCGTCTCTTGTGTGGACTCTAAAGTCATAGATCAACCCACACAAAATAGCAACAATGTATGTTTTGTCAAATATTTAGCACACCAAATATATACTTCTATCTGCAACCGCCCATTTCCAAGGTGTTGAGCCTTATGAGTAGAAAGGGCAAACAAAATCATGGCCAATCTTCTTTAATCGACAGATAACAATGACATCATTAAATATACACAACAATGTTTTGGTGTACCAGTATGTAAGTTTTAAGGACTAAAAGGTAGAAAGGCAATGAAGAGAAATCTAAATGTAGAAAAAAGATATAGAATAGATATAGATGTAGAACAAAGAAAAAAAAAGAAAGTGAAGTAAAACATTAAAAAAATGGCAACATTTCCACTACGAAATAGCCGGTGCTAAATTAATCCCAAGCATTCTTGTCTTCTATGTAATCCACAATTGAGAAATAGGCTTTCTGACATAGTTTAAGTTATATTGTGGATCTAAATTTGTTTACACTAAAATTTTATATAGTATTTGGTATCTATACTAATATTATAAAGCTGAAGAGTTTGTTTGTTTGTTTGTTTGTTTGTTTGTTTGTTTGTTTGAACGCGCTAATCTCAGGAACTACTGGTCCGATTTGAAAAATTCTTTCAGTGTTAGATAGCCCATTTATCGAGGAAGGCTATAGGCTATATATCATCACGCTAAGACCAATAGGAGCGGAGCACCAATGAAGAATGTTTCAAAAACGGAGAAAATTTATTACTATTGAGAGACGCAGACGAAGTTGCGCGGGTCAGCTAGTTGTATTATAAAATTGGATACATTGACCTCGAAATGACTTGTTTATCTTTTGGAACCTAGAGGCAGGTACAACAAGTTTGGGGTGCGTGGTCCGGAACCTC